TAATACCGCTTATGAATTTTGTATTCAGATATGACGCTCAGAATTATCAAGGTTTGGCGACTCTATTTTTCTCACTGGGTTAATATTATAATTGTTCCTTCACCAAAGAGCACAAACTATTTATCTCTTTATATTCTACTTCACCGTCTTCATATTAGATTCCATCTTCAACACCTTATTGCATTTATTTTCATTTCCTTTCTCACTGACATTCCCACCTTTAATGAAAGCTTTTTTATTTTTTTAGTGGATGGTGGATCGAGCCTCCCTGCACTCCTTGTGTTGAATTACCCACACGAATTTAAACCATTACATAAATAAATTATTCTCACTTTTGCTTCCTACTTTTGCTCTGCTGGCTGTCTACATTTACCTCTTCGAAGCCTTTACCGTCCGTCTCGCCCTTTCTGTACAACGCTGGATGAAGAAAAGGTAATGATTATGCTTTTAAGTTACCCATCAAGGAAGGTACCTTGATGCCTGGGAAGAGCTCTTTATCCAACGAACTGGAGCCACACTTCTTGAGATAAAATTTAATGACTTCCCATTCCCCAGGTGCTGTTCTGACCCAGCGGGTTTGAGGGTCCATTATAAATATAATAAAATAGGTCAAAACTTCCAAAAAATAAGTTTTTTAATATTGCATTTTGTTTAACTCGCAATGAAAAGAAAGTCGTATAGTTAGTTAAAAGGGGAAGTTAGTTGGTAAGCACATTTATTCATCAGTTTTGGATTCCTTTTGTCTGGCTACACAACCTTACGCGATCTGTGATTTAAGGAGATTCAACGATTCCTGTGTTGTCACCTCTGTTTGTCAAGCCGTTATGTAACGGCTTGACAAAGCTTCGGGAGAGCGAAACGTTGCCACAAGAAAATGTCGCATTAGTTGCACTTGTGTCCTTTTACAGTTAACATATCGGTAATTCTACCAACATGATTGCCTCTCATTCCAAGGGCGGTATATGACATCTTTGAGTTTAGTGTTTCTCTGTAAATACATTACCGCCTAAATAACAAAAAAGGCACAATACCGTGACTGGAACGATACACAAATAACCCGCACATAAAAGAGAGACGCTTACGACGTGACTTTGTCAATGGTCCAAGTCGGACCGAAACGTCGTCGTAAGCTTCTCTTTTATGTGTGGGTTATTTGAATACCGCCTATTCATCTTACCTGTCTGTTGAGTCCTTGTCTTGATTCTATCGTGTGTCTATTATGAGTTACTTGTTCTGCTTCTTCGCATGCGATGTTTTAGTTATTAGCTCTTGATCAGCTGAGTTGATATTAGAGGTGGCTGCCTTGACTTGGCTCTGGGTACGGAGGCTGCCGTGGCTCGTCTACCTTGAAGGCACAATGCCAAATATGCATTCCCATGGAATTTATATCGCCCTTTCTCTGACCTGTTCTCCCTTCAAGAGCATAGTTATGATTATCTCCCTTCAGGAGGGGGGGGGGAGACGATGCCAGCAAAAGGCTCTTCATCCATGTAATTGGAGCTTCTGTTCCTTTGGAGCAAGCCTGATATCCCTCCCATTCCTCAAGTGTTGCACGACCCCCCTGTGAGTTAAGTGCTTCCCCTTGAATTTATGACTACTAATATAACCTGTGTTCGTGTTTCGGTACCAGTAGGACCTAACTACGGTCCCACTGGTAATCTTGGCTGGAATATATGACCACAAATCTACAATTTGAGCGGTAAGTTTAGACGACATTTTTGTTAATCTTGGATCATTATAAAATATCATTATTAATAGGTGGTGTCTGTCAACGAGCACGCAGAATTTTCCTCCGACGTCGTCACCGCTTTAACTCCCTTTATTTTCCATCCTTGCTGACGGACACACCTTTGACCCAGACTCCTTAGACTTTTTGACAGTAACTGATTTATTACACAAACTTTGATAATCCTTCCTTTAGCACTCCTCACAGCTCCTCCTAACTTTACCTTTGTCATCTCCACCCTTATTTATCCTTAGATCCTCTATCAATTCCTACCCTGCAGCTCTGTATGACCCTGGTAGGTTTAGCACTTCCTTTTGGTTATAATTTTAATAGGCCCCGCCTAATCTTGTCGATGTCTTCCTATTTTCCATTTGTGTATTATTATTTTCATAAGTGCATGTTTTGTATCTAAATGTACGTTCATAGTTGAATAGCAACCCCTATTTTCTGGAGGCAGTGTTGCTTACGACTAGCTTAAACTAATTTAGGTAGCAGTCACTGTCTTGAGAATGTGATTGATACATTACGAAGGAACATGGAATTTTTTCTTTCTCCATTGTGGTTAGATTGCATATTAAGGTATTACATGAGTTTTGTGATTTTGTTGCATTTGTGAATTGCAGGCATTTACCTTTACCAGTTTTCTTATTAATTTTGATTATATTGCATAATTCCCTTAAAGGTGGGGATGGGGGGAGTGTCTGGATACTGATAGAGAATCCAAGCAGTTGGAGCTATCTTCGGATCAAGCATGATTATCTCCCATGCCTCAGGAGCTGTATTGCCCCTGCGGGTTTAGCTCCTCCCAGTGAGTATAATAGTATAAAACAATTATGATATTGTATGTGAAATACAACTTAAACCGATGCTTATGTTTCTCACACTCGTACTTGGCTATGTTTCACTTATGGTGGCCTAGTGTCGATAGTGTGATGTCTGGAGACTCGTCCCCCCTTTTCCCCAATATCTGGTGACACCAGGTGTCCTGTTTCTACCTGTGACCATAGTAATTAGTGCTAGTCTGTCCCACGGGAGATGACCTAGCCAGAAGCGAAGTGTGTGGAGGACTTTGTAACCCTAAGGGAGAGCACCTGTCATGGTCTCTCGGATCTTTCGGTTTGTGAAGTAAGGAGTGATGGTAATCTTCAAACTTTAATTTTGCTAGAGGACCCTAATCTCTCTGGAGGCCACATGTCGTAATCTCCCATAGAAGGTGACTTCGAAGAAATTATAGGGTGTGTGACGGCCTATATAAATTCAGGGAGGGGGACAACAGCTAAGGAGAGAACTTTGGGGAGAGCTTTGCCTGAGTGCCGAACTCTGGCCGGACGAGGAGTTGAGCTCTGGACAGTCCAGAGGGTGTTCTGGTCCAAGTAGGTGGAGGTCTGGTCGACTGGTGGATTGAGTAGAAGTCCATATCTACTGGTATCAGTCTCCCACCCCCCTCCCAACCCTTTTGCAATAATTCCCATAGGTACGATGTTATAACATGTAATGTTATAATCCTAAGATTCTTGTGTAAATGTAAGGTAAAAGTGAGCTTCCCGTTTTATTTATTCAGTAAATTGTAGCCATTTCGATTTTACCCTTGTATGTTATCCCTCTCTTGTACACTATTGCTGGATAATTAAGAATGTAATACTGGTTAGTAAAGGAAGAATATAAACTAATCGGTATTTTTATATGATGTATACTATGTATGGAAGTAAGGTAAAGGAACAATAGCTAAAAGATTAACGAATTTGTAGAGCGGTAATACAGTATGTAGTGTGCATATTAATTGGGACAGTGATGAAATTACATTTCGGAAAACTAATGTTTATTTGAAAAAAAACACGGCAATCATGTGACATAATTCTTTTAATAAGAGATATGACTACCCTTTGCTTTTATAAGCATTGATACACGCTTTTGGCATAGAATCGACCAATGCTGAACACATTTTGGCAAGTTCTTCGTTATGGTACCAGGTTCTAATAACAGCAACAATTACCTTCTTCACAATCGAACAGTCCTATACAACTGTTATTGCCCATACATTTTTCTCAATTGGGTTGAGGCCAGGAGAATTTCCAGGCCAATTTAGAACGCTTAGCCCACTCTCTTCGAAGAATGTCATCAGTTTTCTGGAGCAAGATCCTGCTGGAAAATGCCTTCTCCATCAGGAAAGTCTATCCACAATGGGAAGCAAACGAGTTGCCAGGATTGTCTTGTATTTGTCACTGTTCATTAGTCCCTCAATACCAAGCTGTCCAGGGCCTTTAGCAATATAACTACCCCAAAACATCATCTTAGGTGGGTGTTTTGGTGCTTGTTGAATGTGTCCATTCCGAAGAGGTTCGCCTTTGCTCCGTCTCACTACTACTGATCTGTACTCATGTACTTCAAAATGGGCCACATCTGAAAATATAACTTTTCTCCATTCATCTGTCGTCCATCTCCCATGATCTAGTGCCCGCCGCAACCGTTCTCTGTCTTAGCAGCAGTCAATGTTTCTTTACGGGCTTGGTGGCAAGTTCTGCCAACTTCAAGGAGCCTTCATCGAGCATCTGGTTTTCTTGGAATCCTTCACAATATTTCTTAAGATAACCTTGTCATCGTGAGGTGTTGTCTTCCACAATCACCTGTGTCGTCAGCTTCAGAATCCGACCAACAGTTGACTGCTAGGCTCAAATTTTCTGTGATCTGTCTGATCCTCAAATCATGTTTTATAAGAGCTACAATACTTGCACGCTTCCAATGTTAAACAAACATCATGAATTTCAGCGGTAATCATGAATTGAGGAGAATTTAGCTAACCCACATTCACTCATGGAACATGCTTGCAGGAATAGCCTTACAGAACAACGGCTGTTGTAGCACTGACGAGTCGCAGCGTAACACCACAGATGGATGGTTGCCAGAAGCCGGTAGGTAACACTTATGAAAAGAATCCAAACTACATTAAATAAGCCGGAGACTAAGACACATGAGATAATAACAAAATTTGTTCCTGTCCCAGTTAATTTGCATACTACTGTATGCTGAAACTAGTCGGTGATATATATTAAACCTTTGTTCACACTCGAAAATGAGAACGTCCTCAAATTAGTGATTTGAAACTACACACGGGCGGTGATAGGCTCTTGGTAAGATTATCTTCTAAGATACATTTAATTGAAATACGTGAAATACGAAGTGTTACTGTGTAATGCTGTTTGATGTATGTTGTGTATTTTAAACTTGGTAGTGATTATCCTGTTTAACGGTTAACGGTAAATGTTTCGTTGGGCAGGGGGTCAGCCATCGCCAAGATCGTAGGCACCAACGTGACCAAGTTCGAGCAGTTCGATGATGAGGTGCGGATGTATGTGTACGAGGAGATGGTGGACGGCAGGAAGCTGACAGAGATCATCAACACCACCCATGAAAACGTCAAGTATCTCCCGGGCAAGAAGCTCCCGGAGAATGTGGTAAGTATTGCAAGGCTTCAGTTAGCCTTCCTGTGTCTTTTCTCCTTTAATCTACCTCTTGTATTCCACGCCACGTCTTGAGGATAGGCAGGTCTCTCTCTCTCCCTCACATAAATGTTAGGTTAGTTTCTTAGGATTAAAATCTATCGACTGCTCGAGAGATCATTAAGGCTGCAATTCAAGTGTGCATTAACAAAAAAAAACATAATCCCTAAAACAGGGACTAAATGTGTGTATACACACACTACGATACCTCTAGGTGCATATACCCTCTATTTATATTTATACCCTGTAGCAAATGTTTCATTACCGGACAGGAAATATGACTTGGATGCTTCGACAGAGTGCAGTTGTACGCTTTGTAGCATTAACACTTATGTCACTTGCCCAACAATTTTTATTGGCATTCAAAACTTGTTAGAATTGCGCTTTGGACACTCGGGTAGCTTGTATGTCGCTGGTAAGTCACATGGTAAATGCAGACGTGTATGTTTCTGTAAATATGTACCGATAGTTTACTTTAATCCTTATTTTAGTTATTAAATTCTTGACCAGTGGAGTACAGGTGATATGTAGCCTTAATGGCATTCATACGGTCGATGAGCTTTAAGAATTAACTCAGTTGACTAGTGGTGTATGTAATATACAGGCCTAAAATATGGTACTCTTGCACTCGTCAGGCTTTAAACCTAACCAACATGACTTGTGGTGTCCAGATGATATACACGTTAATGACCGTGCAGTCGATAGGCTTTAACCCTTAAACTGTCCAAACGTAGATTTACGTTTTTTCAACATTTGAAAGTATGTAAAAAAAGTAAATCTTTTCTTTTTTTAAATTTGAAAACTTGTAAAAAAAACTTTGATCTTTTTTTTATATTTGAAAATATGTAAAAAAAAAAAAAGTAGTACTTTTGGAGCACTACGCATGTGAACGTAGATCTGCTTGGACAGTTTAAGGGTTAAACAACAAATGCACTTATCTGTACCTGCTACATAAGGTATTTTCACAAATCATTGAAGACGATGGAAAGGAAGTGTAAATTCAACCATTTAAAACACTAAACAGACAGCTCTGAGGAAGAGCTGCATTATTTATTTGTGACCAACTCATTGCTATAGTTATTGAATTTTGTAAATAATTTATTACTGCTGTCACTTGTTTAGCTAACAGAATTTTGGGGCCCAGTGACCGGACCTGCTGTGTGTGTGCATCTTATTTTGACAACATATATTTGGGATGTATAATTTAAGCTGTGAAACAGAAGGAAAATCTTCCGGTAGTAGTTTGTAGATAGCATTACTGTGGTAAGTGGGGAGGAAGGGGTAAAGGAAAGGTCAAGACCATTTCAAGAAAGGTAAAATTCACTGCAATGTGACTAGCAAATTAAAAGATGAAAACCAGCACAGCGTCACTACTACAGGAAAAGTCCGGACCACTGCATGAACAGTTGAAGACCACTACAATATGAGAGTAGCAAATGAATATCAAGAGAACCGCACTGTGAGAGTAGCACAGGAAAGGCCAGGAGCACTGCAGTATGAGAATGTGAATGTAAAAGTGACAAGGTCAAAGCTAGCTAGGCTGAGAGTTTCTTGTTGCTAGCCATGATTGTGGTGCCACTTCAGGGGTGGGTACCATTGCCAGCACTTGCTTTCTTGGCAAGTGTCTTGTCTCCCCGCCACACGTGTACTCTACCTCAATGTCACGATATATATAACAATAGCCCCCCAAAATGCGCCACCCTCAGAATCTGTCTCAAAAGGTTAAATTGCAGGTAGCTTCTTTCCGTGTTGTCAGATACTGTCTTGTAATTAAGTACATTTGTTCTATACTGCTAAAGTACTACGTCCTTTGATGTATAGTGTGCAGGTTCGAATCCTGCTGTGGAGTGAGAGAGAATGTTTATACACGATTTCTCCCTTTTGCGATTTGTTAAGCATTCTAAAATCATTCAAAAGTTCACTGCAGGTGCTGCAGGATTTGATGAAATAACTTAAAAGCCTGATGTTCTGGAGTGTGGGAGTGACAGCTTAGCTTCAGCTAGGCGCCGATACTTATCTCTGGGATCAAGATGTGACTAAAAGGCTAAAAACTGCGTACTTCGATGCAGGGTATTCAGGTTCGAATCCTGCTTTAAACTGAGAAATAATGTTTGTAAATAATTTCGCCCTTTTGTGATTTATGCGCATATATATATATATATATATTATATATATATATATATATATATAATATATATATATTATATATATATTATATATATATTATATATATATATATTATATATTATATATATTATATATATTATATATATTATATTATATATATTATATATATTATATATATTATATATATATATATATATATATATATATATATATATATATATATATATATATATATATATATATGCAATAAGATCACAGTAAACAGGTGATTTCAGAATATGCAAAACAACCACTGTGAAAGAATAGAGAAATTCCAAGCGCTTTCGTGACTACTCACATTATCAATGTGAGTAGTCACGAAAGCGCTTGGAATTTCTCTATTCTTTCACAGTGGTTGTTTTTGTGTGTGTGTGTATATATATATATATATATATATAATATATATATATATATAATATATATATATATATATATATATATATATAATATATATATATATATATATATATAATATATATATATATATATATATAATATATATATATATATATATATATATATATATATATATATATAATATATATATATATATATATATATATATATATATATATATATATATATATATATATATATATATATATATATATATATAATATAAATTATGTGGTATTCGACTACTACTCTAGGGGCAGTAAAGAACACAATTTACTAGATTGAGGTTGGTTTCCTTGAAGTTGCGGCCTTCCCGACCACACTTGTAATACTGAAGTAAGAGACTGACCTAAATACTTTACTATCCTCACACGCTGGATGTTACCAGTTCAATTCACTAACAAGTAATCTACTGGCCTGGGCCAGTAGGTGACTTGGATCTGCCTCGCATGGGCCAGTAGGCCTGCTGCAGTGCTCCTTTCTTATGTTCTTATCTGCCACAGAACGTACAATTAGTGTTCTCTTGATATCGGTAGAACCTCTTGATCTAAGATATTGACGCTATCCTCCTCTTAGATCAAACTTGATTATCTCCTGTTGCCTGTATGACTCATAAAGGTTTAGCGCTTCCCCATGAATATTGAGGAAGTCCTTCATTCTGAAGGATGAGTGGAAATCCTGCAGTTCGGAATGTCATTTGAATTGTGATATTGACACACTTCTGGCAAGACAACTATTGAATAATTGATAATGAATGGATTTCCGTCTTTAGGTCACTTTGCCTTGGTGGGAAACTGCCTGTGTGGCAAAACAACAACAAAAAATATGGAATTTATGTCGCATGTTCCAAAATGTGTCCCTCAACTTTTTCAAGCCTTTTTTTAAGCCGTTTTTTAAGGGCGGACACAATGTAACAACCGCTTATTCTAATTTTGGTCTAACATAAATCAACATTTTGGCATTCATGTATATGTATGTTCTTTGTGAATGAGCTAGTATGCCATCATAGTTCTCACTACTACACCTACGATTTTCCGGTGATAACTTGTTGATAATCACCCCAAGGTTTTTTTCTTTATACAATGTTCGTACAATTTTATCGCAAACTATAATCATCATTATAAAGCCAGAGTGTGCTTTCTCCTGTCACCATTGTACGAATTAATCATTAAATTGCAGTATCAGTAATTTTTATTCAAAGTGTTCACTTTAAAGCCTCATGTACAAATTTTACATTGTCTATTTATTTTCTTAAGAGTTTTTGCATTGTCCGCAAACATATTCATACCAGGTTATTCCTTTTGGTAGGTTTTTTATATAGATTAAAAATGCCATTGAGGCGAACGCTGTTCCTAATGGGACCCCACTAGTGACATGTCACCCCACGAAGACCATGTTTGTCACGGAAATAGTCCTAGCTGAATGTTTTTAATGTCAGTTTCTGTGTATACTAATTGCATGCAGCTCCATACGGGTTTTGAATGAGTTTTGATACTCATGTTTGTCTATGATGTTGGCTTCTGTCATGTTTATTATTGGGCGACTTCTCTGAAAGTTACAAGAGATTATCACACGAATTCCCCTATTAATTTAACGATAACGTAATTTAATCAAGTGAGCTTGATGAAGTTAAAACATATATAAAAATTAAAATTAAACAAGTACAAGAGACTTGTTTATCTAAGCTTCTGTAAGACACCCTCTTTCGGCCCCCTGTTCAAGTGTTTTTTTTTTTTCACTTCAACGAAAAGTGGAAAAAAAAAAACTTGCTGAACTTGACAGGTGTAAGAACAAATCCCTGAGGTACACCACTTCTGGCCGTTCAAGGGTAGGTAGTGGTGTTACAGCGGGTTGAACCGATTATATCCGGTGTGTTGTTATTATGTAGGTCAATCGTCTGCCTGAATGACTCAGTATTACTAGGCAAGACAAGAGGAGGCTTGACGCAGTTAATTTAACTTCCCATGATCACACTATATTTCATCAGTTTTGAAGTTAACCAGGCGTGGACTTGTGTACATTATTGGTGGATTTTGTTTAAGGGTTTTCTTTTGTTTTATTTTAAAATATGTATTTAATGTAAAAAAAATGTGTATTGCAGCATTGAGAAATAGGATTTGTACTTTTGTTTGACCAGCATCCCCGAGTGCATTTAGCCTTGAAAAGTGCTGAGAAGGGGTGACTTCTGAGGAGAACCCGATTTTTATCTGTAATAGTAAATTATCAAGGCTGGCTTATCTGCTCACTCGACAATTTCAATCATATCTCGCGGCATTCCACCTAACTCCGTTTCCTTACATACACCGTGTCAGAGCACCTCTAGAATTTTGTTAACAAAATCCCTATCTTCAAACACCAACTTTCTTTTTACTGTAAATATATATTTCTCACGA